ATGGATTTATTCCATAAAAAATAGTAGAAAGGATACAAAGTAGATTCATAGAGGCAACTGAATGAAAACTGAAAAATAGTACCATAGACCACTAAAACACAGATGACCTTTCACAAGATTGTCAATATGCCATCCAAATTTATTTCCTACCATTCTATGCCCTTTTAAATAATAAAGGATAATTCACATTGTAAAAAGGCACTTGACAAATCTACTTCTAACATATTCCACAGTTCTGGACTCTTTGAAGTATCAACTCTTGACAAATCCACCGCATAGTGCATACCGACAGACTCTTCACCTGGAGCACATCAGACAATGAAAGGAGCCCCTGATAAGGAAAGGCAGGGTTAAAATCTAAAGTTGATGAATCTTGTAGTCAATATCCCCGAGAAACCTCAAATCACCATGAATGCCATGCCTCATACAGATATTGTACAAAATGTGCTATGTAAAAATGCTGCACAGACCTTTATATGAGGATTATTTTTCTGGCCTGACTTCCAAAATTGATCCTGTCTTTGTGTGTCCTCCATCTCTAACGATCCTATACACAAAGAACGCCACCACTGCACCACTGAACATTTTAAGCTAACTGTCAGAAGCCAGATAAAGCCAATATATGCTTCTTTGGGGAGTAGGAAAGAAAAGAGGCCTTGTACACACTAAAATTTAGAAGAAAATATTAAGGTATTTTATAGCATGTCACATTTGTCATTTTATATGCTCTTAATTTTATTAAATTTATGTCTATATATCACAATATCTTCTTGTTATGATTAACAATTACATCACTCTTACTATGTTAATAGAAATGTCTACTACATGTGCAAACACTATTTTGGTAAAATCTCAATTAACCCACTGTGCAGCTTTTATTATTTTATTTTCTCCTAGTTCTATCTTTGAATGCAAACTTCCACTAGAGATGGTTAATGATTCATTGCAAAATATCAATAAAAAAAATTAGACAAACAGAATGCTGACACAAAAAAGGTTTCTGGATGGTAA